AGTTAAGTGGCTACCTTCAGCTCAGGTCATGATCCCAGAGTCCTGGGATCGAGCCCCATGTCGGGCTGTCTGCTCAGCAGAGAGCCTGCTTCTCCCTCTTTCTCTGCCTGCCGCTCTGCCTGCTTGTGCTCTCTCTCTATCTCGCTGTCAAATAAAGAAAATCTTAAAAAAAAAGAAAAAAGAACAAAGTTGGAGGACTCATACTTCCCGATTTCAGAAGTTACCACGAAGTTACAAAACAATGTGGTAGTGGCATCTGGGGAAAAGAACTGAGAGTCCAGAATAAACCCATAAAATTAATTTTCAACAAGGATGTCCCAACTGTTCAATGGAGAAAAAAGAGTCTCTTCAGCAAATAGTATGGGACAACTAATACCTGCATATAGAATGAAGCTGGATCCTTACCTCATATCATATATAAAACTTAGATTGAAAATAATAAAAGAAATTGGGCGCCTGGGTGGCTCAGTCGTTAAGTGTCTGCCTTTGGCTCAGGTCATGATCCCAGGATCCTGGGATTGAGTCCCACATCGGACTCCCTGCTTGGCAGGAAGCCTGCTTCTCCCTCTCCCACTCCCCCTGCTTGTGTTCCTGCTCTCCCTATCTCTCTCTCTCTCTGTCAAATAAATAAATAAAATCTTAAAAAAAAAAAGAAATAAATTAAAACTTGCATATAAGGGGCAAATCTATAAAGCTTTTAGAAGAAAACATGGGGGGAATCTTCATAAGCTTTGATTAGGCAAAGATTTCTTAGATATGACACCAGAAGCATGAACAACAAAACAAGGGATAAATTGGACTTCATCAAAATTAAAAATTTTGTGCATCAAAGGACACTATCAAAGAGTGAAAAGATCACCGACTGAATGGGCAAAAATAACTGTGAATCATATGTCTGATGAGGGTCTAGTCCCCAGAATATAAAAAAGAATGCTCAAAACTCCACAACAAAGACAACCCAATTTTTTAAAAAAATGGGCAAAGGACCTGAATAGACATTTCTCCAAAGAGAATTATACAAATGACCAATGAGTACATGAAAAGATGCTCAATGTCCTTAGTCATTAGGGATATATATATGCAAATGAAAATCACAATGAGGGGCACTTGTCTGGCTCAGACAGTGGAGCATGCAACTCTTGATCTCAGCATTTTAAGTTGAAGCCCCACGTTGGATGTAGAGATTACTTAAAAATAAAATCTTTAAAAAAAAAAAGAAATAAAGAAAAGAAAACCACAGTGAGATACCACTCCACACCCACTAGGATGTCAACAGTGAAAAATAAAACAAAAAACCCCAGAAAGTACTAAATTGGCAAGGACGTGGAGAAATAGCTAACATACACTGCTGGTAGGACTGCAAAATGGTACAGCCACTGTGGAAAATACTTTGGCAGTTCCTTTATAAAGCTAAACACAGAATTACCATGTAGCCCAGCAATTCCATATCTAGGTATATACTTGAAAGAATCGAAAACAAGTGTTCAACAAAAACTTGCAAATGAACGTTCATACAGCATATTCACGATAGCCAAAAACTAGAAACAATTCAAATTCAGATAAATGGATAAACAAAATGTATTCATACAACTGAATATAATTTAGCCATTAAAAAATAAAGTACTGATACATGCTATAACAGGCTGAACTTTGAAAACATCATGCTAAGTAAAAGTAGCCAGACACAAAAGGTCACATATTGTGATTCCACTGATACGAAAGATTCAGAACAGGTGAATCCATCAAGTCAGAAAGCAGATTGGTCTGTGCCAGGGACTGTGGGTAGGAGAGAACTGGGAGTGACTGCTTAATGGATACAGGGTTTTCTTTCGGTGTGATGCAAATGTTCTGGAACCAGATAGTTGTGATGATCGCCCAACATTATGAATGTACTAAATGCCACAAAATGTATACTTTGGTGAATTTTACGTGCATTTTTCCACAGTTATAAAATCTTTAAAAAAAATTATTTTTAATTTAAAAAATTTTTGCATGATAAAATATAACAAAGTCTCATATCAGGAAAGGCAATGGAAGAGTAAAACTGTGGTAAAGGTAATTTATAAAAGGTTAATATCTGAATTATTTATAAAGATTTGACACAAAGAAATAGGATCAATATCCAAAGTTATCAGGCTAAGCGGTCAAAACTGATGCACAGATTATAAACCAAGAAATAATTACAGTAAAATTCCTCACATAAAAATGGAGAGGCAGGCGCCTGGGTGGCTCAGTTGGTTAAGCAACTGCCTTAGGCTCAGGTCATGATCCTGGAGTCCCTGGATCCAGTCCCGCATCGGGATCCCTGCTCGACAGGGAGTCTGCTTCTCCCTTGACCCTCCCCCCTCTCATGTGCTCTCTCTCTCGTTCTCTCTCAAATAAATAAATAAAATCTTAAAAAAAAAAAATGGAGAGGCTACCAGAAGTAAATGCTTACTGAAACATCTTTAAGGAATTATTATATTCTAAATGCCTTATAAAGAAGTTAAAAAGCAAATGTGGCCAAGCCATAGGGAAATAAATTAAGTTTAAAATCTCCAGTGACATTGTGAAACTGTTCTAGAGAACAATCTAACAATATGTAACTGGAACTATAAAGCTTGTTAGGTACTTTGTCCTAGGAATTTCAGTTTGGGGACTACTTTTAAAGGAACACACTCAAAGTAGGAGAAGCAGGAAATAATTTGAAAATAAGATATTCATAGCCATGACAACATGAGAAAATATGAAATAATTTAAATTATCAATAAAAGAGTTGAGCTAAATGAACTTTTATTATTGCTTAAGCACAATGGAATATATGCATGTGTCTATATATGTGTGTATGTGTATATGTATATATCTATTTAATATCACAACTGTGTAACTATTTGATAGGTTAAAATGCATGTAAAGATAATGCTAATGTAAATGTGCCCCCACTGATTTCAACTCTGTAGATACAGTGAAAAGAATTTGGAGTAAGAGTTTAAAACTCAACAGGCTCTTTTAAATAAGTTGTAGAGAATAAAAATTTCCTGGCCATTATTTTCCAATCACATTCTTTACCCAAAGATCAGTAAAAAAAATATAGATATGGCAACAATAAAAAGTTTTCCAGGATAAACTATAAGTTTAGAAGAAAGTCTTAAATGAATTAAGATACTGAATTAAGGGGCGCCTAGGTGGCTCAGTCGTTAAGCATTTTCCTTTAGCTCAGGTCATGGTCCCAGGGTCCTGGGATTCTGCTCAGCAGGAAGCCTGCTTCTCCCTCTCCCACTCCCCCTGCTTGTGTTCCCTCTCTCGCTATGTCTCTACCTGTCAAATAAATAAATAAAATCTTTTTTAAAAAAAAAGATAAATGAATTAAGATATTTTGTTTTGCCCTTACTACCTCTTTCTGTTGAGATAAAAGTTTTCAGGCCAATTCCTCAATAAGACTTAGAGAAAAATCTTTTCACTGTATTTTTTTTAAAGATTTATTTATTTCAGAGGGAGAGAGAGAGAAGCAGACACCCGCCAGGCTGCCTCGATCCCATGACCCTGAGACCATGACCCGAGCAGAAATCAATAGTCAGACGCTTAACCAACAGAGCCACCCAGGCGCCCCTCATTGTACTTAAACATTAGGAGCACCTGGCTGGCTCAGTCGGAAAGGCATGCAACTCTTGATTTCAGGGTTGTAAGTGCGAACCCTACGCTGGGTGTAGAGATTACTTACAAATAAAATCTTAAAAAAAAAAAAAAACATTTTGTTTTTAGCCAATGTTTAGCCAACTGTTTAATAAAAATGTTTTTCAGGGTGCCTGGGTGGCTCAGTTGGTTAAGCATCAACCTTCGGCGCAGGTCATGATCCCAGGGTCCTGGGATGGAGTCCTGCACTGGGCTCCCTGCTCAGCAGGGAGTCTGCTTCTCCCTCTGCCCCTCCCCCTGCTTGTTCTCTCTCACTCTCTCTCACTCACGTGCAAAAATAAAATAAATAAATAAACCTTTTTAAAAAAATGTTTTTCAGATGATACTTGATTCAGTCAACATATATGGATGCACTTTAAAATATCAAGGAAGGAAAGTTAGTTAAATGTATGCAAAGTATATATTCATATAGACAAAGAAATATGAACGACTGTCCAGAGACCAATAAAAATACCCTGAATAGATTTAAAAATGTAACATCATGCAGTCCTCACTGTACAAGGAACCTGTGCACAAATAACTGCCTAAACACTGCTCTGAACAGTTGTTGCCACAGAAACCATCAAAAAGAGCAAACAAAGGCAAACTGCAGCTTTTAGACATTCTGTCTGTTCAGAAGTTGTAGTTGTACAAAGCCTTGTAAAACAGAAGTAGTGAAAAGTATAGTTTAAGGGAACTGACCTAAGAGATACATCCTGTCCAAATTCTACTACCAGAATTTTTTCTTATACTTCCTAAGAACTTGCCAATTAGAGAATTATGCAGATTAACAGCTACTGTCCACTTATCAAAATTGATACCTCTGAAACAATTAAGCAGTGATACTTTATTTGTTCAATTTCTTTAACTTCTCTCCTAACACCTAAATGAAGCACACTGCAACTGGAGGGAATAGAAAAGGAAGTAGCATTGAGCCTTCTACTATGGCAGTCTCCCCAGGTCTATACATTTCCCAAAATTCATTTTTCAAAACTATTTATCTTCTCCTCCTAAGCAAAGTTTTCATTCATTAGCCTAACAAAACATATCTTTTTTCACTTCTCCAAAAAAATGTTATAGTCATAAAAACTAATGGCATTTTTAAAAAATCAACTCACCTGAAGTTTATTATTTAATAATGGAAAACATGAGAAGCTCTTTAAAGTCTTCTTTAAAATATCTTTATCCATTTAAAACCTGCTTTCCTTTTAATTTTACCACCATCATACTTTCTATACGCATATAACTTCATGTTCATTAGAGATTATAATAATGAAGATCCTAATTGAGCCTTGTAAACATAATATATTTAAATCTTTTCAGCATAACATTCATCAACTGATTCTTACTTTGCTTCAACTTATGGAAATCACCGACTCTATCCTTGGTAGCTTGCTTTAGTATCTCTGCTTGAATTCTGGGTACACTCTCCAAGTTCGGGCCTGGAATTAAACGCTGAAGAGGATTGGAAGGGTTCTGTTTTGAAGTTCCAGGGTTTCCATTGTGATGTCCATGAGAATCTATAGCATAAAAACATCAAACCAAAGTCATATTTCACAGAGGAATTTCACAAGACCTGCTTTAGAAAAGGTAAGACACACTGTTGTCTGATATTGAGTAGTCAGGTAGGCTTTTTTTGTTTTTTTGGGCTTTATTCTAATTTCTTTAATCAAATCTTACAGCCAATGTGATTTTAGATGTGTGAAGTTTACTAATCATTTCTAGGTGAGTATCTCTAGTACTGATTATAAACCTATCCAAAAAAGAGATACATAGTAGAAACCCAAAGATTTAAATGGCATTAAGAGCTGTATCTTTTTCTCCCTTCAAACTTGGTATTGCTATCAGAAATCTCTAGTCTTTAAGCCATTTTTTTAAGCTTTTATTTATTTATTTGTTGGGGGGGTGGGAGAGCACGACATGCGCAAGCAGGGGGAGCAGCAGGCAGAGGGAGAGGGTGAAGCAGGATCCCCGCTGAGCAAGAAGCCCAATGCGGGCCTCCACCCCAGGACCCTGGGATCATGACTTGAGCTGAAGGCAGATGCTTAACCAACTGAGCCACCCAGGCGTCCTGTCTCTAAGTCATGTTCATCTACACAGTGACTCACAACTGTTAACTTTTTTTCAGTTTATTCATTTATTTTTTAAGTAATCTCTAAACCCAATGTGGGGCTGAAACTCATGACCCCAAGATCAAGAGTCACATACTTTACTGACTGAGCGAGCCAGGCACCCCATGTTAATTCTTGATTATTTCTCCCTTTCTTGCTTTTAAAGATTTTTTTTTAAAGATTTTATTTATTTATTTGACAGAAAGAGAGCATAAGCAGGGGGAACGGCAGGCAGAGGGAGCGGGAGAAGCAAGCTCACCACTGAGCAAGGAGGCCGATGTGGGACTGGATCCCAGGACCCTGGAATCATGACCTGAGCCGAAGGCAGATGCTAAGCCACCCAGGCGCCTCATAAAGATTTTATTTTTTAAGTAATCTTTACACCCAACATGGGGCTCAAACTCACAACCCTAGAGATCAAGAGTCACAGGCTCTACCGACTGAGCCAGCCAGGCGCCCCACGTTAACTCTTGATTCTTTTTTATTGGTAACTCCTGGATATAACTTTTCTTTCCCCCACTCCTCTTTCTTCCTCATCAAAAACTTGATTTAGATCCTTACTATAATTAATTTTAATCATATCAATTCTCATTTTAGGGAACATTTCTATAAAATCAAATACATATTCAGTAGAAAACAGATACATTTATAAGTATGGAGTAGGGAGTTGAATACAGATGGATATAGTAGTTAATAGAAGGACTCTGAGATTAATTTCAACACATTTTGAAAAGGGTAAATACATACAGATTGGCAGAGATGAAAAGGAATATAGTCCAGAGTGGCAGAACAAATAATTCTTCTACTCTTAATAACACTTTAGACAAAGTGCATTTTTAAATGATTATTTCTCCCCAAGCTTCGATCAATCATTGGGAAACATATAACATTAACTAGAAGAATGAATGCTACTTCACCATGCTACTAGATGACATGTTTTATGCACTATATAACAACACTTGACCAGTAAATTGGTTTTCAAATGGAATTTTAAGAATAAGACTTCATACCTGGAAACACATTTGGGGAGAGAGGTTGTCCAGTTGGAATATGGGAGACTGCTTGATGACTTTCATATTGAGAAACGGAAATAGAGGGTTTCCTTAGAGCTAAAAGAAAAAAGAGATCCATATTATTCCTGTCATTATTATAATTTCTAAAAACCAACCATCATGAATCTATTTGCACTGCACTAATCCTATGATGCTTATTTTAATTTTATAATCTTTATAGTTGATATATTAACTAACTTATGGTTACTAAGTGATACATTGTACTATCCATCACAGATTTTGGTGACAAATAAATCTGACCAGGATATAAAATAGTTGGAATTCTATGTTTTGTATACCACTATATCCCCAACACCTAGAATAAGTGGCACATAACAAAAGCTCAGCTAAGATTTGGTGAATAAATAAATGAATCTCTTCAGATACAGCAAGATCTTTTTCTGTTGATAAATAAAAATTGACATTTACAGATTAGGTGAAGCAATGAGAATATGCTACTGTAAGTTGCTCAGATTTTAAATAAAAACTAAAGATGACTGATGGAACAAGTTGAATTTTATTTTTGAAGAGGGAAAATTTGTATTTTGTACAAAGAGCTTCACTAAGAAAGATGTATACACGTCTAGTGGGTACTTTATTCTCTCTTAAGAAATGAAGGCAACAGGGAAGGATCATTTTCCACTCACTACCACTAATTCTACAGTTTCCTTGGGCAGCTTAACAAGATAGAAAAGCAGAGAGCAAAGAAGGAAACTAGAGAGAAGGGAAACAGAGGAGAGCCCATCTCTAAGATATGATTAGTGCCACATTTTATTCTGGTGGCAGAGACAATGTGTTCCTATTTCATCAGATTCTTCCTGGTCACAGAAGATCAGCCTTCCTTAGAGTTAAGGGACGTAAGTCTAGGTTCTGACTCTGAGGGTATAAGTGAAACTGAATGTGCCACTTCCAGGTATGGCGATAAAATCTGTGCAAATCACCTACAATCTCTCTTCCCTCTCTGCCACAACTTAGGATGGTACATGTGAAGATGAATGATATCAAATAATGAAAGAGACACTGCTTGGAGGAGAGCTACAAGAGAATCATCCAACCTGCATGAGACTGTAAAATTAACAATAAATAAATCTTTCTTGTTTTAAGCCACTGCAATTGGGAGTTGTTTGTTAATATAACACAGCCTGATCAATTCTTTCTCTCTTTTTTGTGGGGGGAGGGGCAGAGGGAGAGGAAGAGAGAGACTCTTAAGCAGGCTCCATGCTCAGCACGGAGCTGGATGTGGGGCTTGATCTCATGACCCTGAGATCATGACCTGAGCCAAAATCAAGAGTCAGACGCTTTACAGACTGAGCCACCCAGGCACCCCACAGCCTAATGAATTCTAACTAGTATACTTGGGTCATTTTTATAATCCTGAAAGTTTATTTCAATGACTGTATTTCATTTATTATTACTTGGATTTCTAAACTTAAGGACTCAAGAGTTTAAAATTCACTCTAAGAAAGCAACTTACTCAAATTTACAGAAAGTTGAGGTTTTCTATATCTCACTATATTCTCATTACCCTGTTTCTATTTCTAGCTTCAATGTCCAACACCCACTTCTGCACATAAGACAGCTAAGTAACAATCAGCTAACATCTTAAAAGAGCAGTAGCTTGCTGGGTTTAATTAATATAATTTTTATTTGCTAACAGACTCTGAGGACACTAAGCATCTGGTCGATATATCTGGAAAGAGAAGTCAGTCACGATCTACAAATTTGTTTTATAGATTTGTATCACCATAGCTAGCTCTGGCACTACTCAAACCAGAAGACAAGAGAGAGCATCTCCACTACTAAACAACAAGTAATTACAAATGTCCTTAGCTTTATAGAATAATGCCTCCTGCTCAAGAACAAGGTGACTATTTGGAGGCAAAGCTATGATTTAGATAGGTGAAAAAACAATGCTGGATTAAAAAGAGCCTCTGTAAAACATCCAGAGGGGTTTAGATACAGTATAAACAGAGTAGTAATATGGAGCCCTTACAAGTTTGATATGAATAATATATGTTCCTGGAGAAAATTTACAAAAAGCACAAAGCACGAAGAAATTTAAAACTATAATTCCACCACATACAGGTAACCACTGTTATCATTTCAAGACTATCTCTCTAACGTTTTGTGGGGATTTTTTCCTGTGCATTATACTATACACCTTAAACAAAGGTAGGGTCCTATCATACATACTATCTTATAATCTGATTTTTATTTAATATTTTATACCTATCCTCCTTTGTCATCCCATTTTCTTCTACAGCATTCCCAATGGTAATGCTGAATCAAAACTTCCAATTTAGTGTTAACTATACTTCAACTAAACAAATAATTAAAAAACACAAACAGAAAACTTCCAATTTAATAGGCTTGGCTAGAAAGATCTGGGTAAAGAATTGCCACAGGGATCTTAGAGCCCCACAAACTGCATCACCTAAGCTAGCTGGTAAATAGACTTCTACTACTTAAGAAAAAGAAATGTGTGTTGTGTAAACATTTCAGTTTCTATGCTTTTATGTTGACTTTTTGTTTACTTTCCTTTTTTCTTTCTTTGAAAAGTTCCTTTTTAAGAAACTCCAGCCTTGGGGCGCCTGGGTGGCTCAGTTGGTTAAGCATCTGCCTTCAGTTCAGGTCATGATCCCAGGGTCCTGGGATGGAGCCCCACATCGGGCTCCCTGCTCGGCGGGAACCTGCTTCTCCCTCTCCTTCTGCCCCCACTCCCGCAAGCTCATACTCTTCTCTCTCAAGTAAATAAATAAAATTTTTAAAATAAAAAATAAAAGATAAAAACTCCAGCCTTGTTTCTGTTGAACTAAGGGAAAAGGTAATTTACCTATACCTAGGACAAGACGGAGGCTTCCCCCAGGGGTCAGAATGAATAGTTACAGTCAGTGATACCAGAACAAATGAAGACCTAGAAAACTACTAGTGGGCTTGAAGATAAGTGAGAGGGCTAATCTCACTCTCCAATTTCTGTAGGGTTGTTCAGACTTTTATTCTATACACATATAAGTATCTAATGTTTATTCCACAAAAGTGAGATATTATACTTGCTTTCCTGTAACCTGCTTTTTTCATTTAAAAAGATAGTATATTTGTATGTTAATAAATACAGCTCAACATTATCATTTTTAACAACTACATATCACACTTTATGGATATAACAAATTTAATGAATTAACCCTCTAACACTTATATAACTTTCAATTTGTCATTATAATCAATTTTGTGTTACACATTTTTACACCTACATGATAAGAGTAAATTCTCAGGGAAGTACTAAGCAGTAGGGCAAGAGCCATATGTACGTCTTAAATTAAGAGAAACTAAATAATAAATGTGAGCTTGAAGTCAATAAAAGTGTGGGAAAAAAATCAGACACTAAAGACTGCAAACGGTAATTTATATTAAAGCATTTCTAACTTTCTATATATTTTACCCTGGTCCTCTCCATTGAGGACCATTGAGAGCCAGGAGAAAGTATACAAATTGACAGAGAATAGCACGCTGCTATCGGATAATATTAATAACTAGGCTACTAAAATATATATATCATTGATAAAGCCATTATTAAGGAAAAATACCAAAGGTAAAATGGCAAAGCCTAGTTATGATAAAGACAAAACACAGGACACAAAGTCACTTGGAGCACACAGCTTTTATCCTATTACTCAGGTTCTGGGTTTTATATTTTTTATAGTGGTGAGCTATCAGTATGGAAGTTCAATCATTCAACAATATTTATCATTCAACAATATTTACCAAGTGTCCATTATATGCTAGGCACTGTTAAAAAACTGGAGATTTAGGAGCACTGGGTGTTATATGCAAACAATGAATCATGGAACACTACATCAAAAACTAATGGTGTAATATATGGTGATTAACATAACATAAAAAAATGGATAAACAACTAATTATCACCAAGAAAAAAAAAAACTGGAGATTCAACAGTAAACAAAACAGACCAAGTTATTGCCCCCATAAAGCTTACATTCTTGTTGGGTAGATAATAAGTAAATAAGAGTATGTATAAAATATAAATGTCAGAGTGAAAAGTTCTATGTATAAAGTAAAACAGGGAGATATGATAGAGAGTGGTGGGAGATTCTACTTTAGATAGTTTGGTCAGGGGAGGCATTTTCAAAGAAGAGACATTTAAGCAGAGTGAATGAAACATGGAGGAAAAACATTCAGGCAAAGACCATCAAGTACCCACAAAGGCCTTAAGACAGGAGCATGCATAGCATATCGGAGGAACTGCAAAGAAAGAAGTGAAGGGAAAGTGTTAGAAATGAGGTCAGAGAACAAAGAAGGATCTATATTAGAGACACAACAGTTAAAAAGTTAGGAATAATTGGTTAGGGGGCTGGGGGGCTAATGGCTGGGACTACCCTTGGCAATTCCAAAGGAGGCAATAATGTACTAATTATAGTAACTGTAGTTCCCATTTTCTGACTGCTTAGTATAAACCAGGCACTAATCTCATGTCACCCTTAAATCTATGTGAGATAAATATACCTTTCACAGATGAGGAAACTGAAACTCATGACAGAAGAAATGAGATATACATTTCACTTGACTTAAAAATTCAAAGTAGTCATTTCTGGAAAAACTGGCTAAGGTGCTTATAAAAGGTGATAGAAGGTTTAAGGTTAATCCTTCTTCACTTCTCTATTAGCTCTCAGTTGCAGTCCCTACTCTGAGAGCCAAAAAAGAACTGTCTGCATTTCCTTTTTCCAACGATAGGGCTACAACCTTAAAAATGTTCAAACCTTCCAGTTTCTGTCTTAGAGGGCATCACAATCCAGTGACTATGACTATGGAGAAGTAAGATGGCACTAATAAGCAACGGTCCTCAACTCAACAGATACCACCCTGGACATACTGAATAAGGGGGTGGTACCTAGGTATCTATATTTATTAAAAGCTCCAAAAGTGGTTCTGTTGCACAGCCAAAAGAATAAAAGACAGAATAAAAAGCATAAGCTTTGGAGTCAGACAGACCAGGACTTAAATCATGACTCTGTAATTTATTAACTGTAGGATTTTGGGTT